AACGGGACCTGACTCATCCTAAAATGTATTTACTACAGTAAACTCCCCATTATCTGACATTCAAGCAACCAGAAAAAAAAAATATCGAGGACATAATATGTCCTCAACTTATTTTGCCAGTCGCTTGATGGCAATGTTAGCAACTACATTTATTCCTTTGCTAACAAAATTCTCTGTTTAAATCTTGCTGCGGCTGATGGCTAGATTCCTCAGCTGGCAGGTGAATGTAAACAACGGGCATTGGGCATGTGCAAAAGCCAGCTTGCTTTTGGCTATAGCAATTTGAAATAGCCAATTGGGGGGGTTGTTGCTTGAGAGTTAATAGTAACTCTCAAGCAAGCATAAAACTACAGTTATTGGACATCTACCAATCCCCATGGGGGTTTGCTGTTTTAACAAATATTGTACTCAACATTTCCTGTTAATAAGTTACTATAATTATGAGTGACATGGAGCAGGGAGGTGATAAATATAGCATCTCATTAAAAGAATAATATACATAGTTTTCTAAGAACGTTTTTTTCTTATTTACTTGGGAGGCAAATGAAAAGGCCATATGTTTCTTCATATTTCATTACCATTTTAGTCATATATTCCAGAAACTTAGCATTGCAATTCATGAATCAAATTATAGAAGTGGTTTATCTTTCTGCAGTACAGTATAAATGATGCATTCAGCTAAGCCATTGATCTCCCTGCTGTGGAATGCATTATGAAAGGATACATTTCTAACTGACTTTTCAGCATCAGTAACAGTCTTTATTTATGGCTTACATGTTCATTTGGGACATGAAATATAAGAGTTTTGGAATTCTCTGGAATGCAAAATAAAAGAGGTTCCATTAAGTTAACGGGTGCCACATGAGCAGAAGTGTTCTGTTTATGGCTTCTGATGCACTGACTCCCAAAATACATTTATGAAAATTCACATGAAGAATTTTACACAACCATAGTTGTTAATACGGAAGCAAATGTGAGTGTAAAATGTCGTCTCCTGTTACATATAGCTAGGCAGCCCACTGCGGGCACTTTCTGTACATCAGCGGTGACGATAAGCAAATTATAGCAGGCTTTTCAGCATAAAATAAGTACCCCCCATCTCCTCCCTCCCCCTTCCTTCTTACATAGTTACAAAAAGTTTAGGCAATGTAAATACATTTGTATTATTCTTAATAGTGTTTCCTCACCCAGGAAAGGGTGACATTGCTACTGGCCACTTGCCAGTACAACAGTGTGATGTGGTCATTGGTCAGTGCGCCATTGTAACCGCGCTGACCAATTAGATTCTCTTCTTTCTTCCTGGATGCCGTCCTGGAAGAAAGAATACTCAGAAAATATTCTTATTGGTCAGCAAGCATTATATTAATATACAGCTTTCAGGGCTGTGTAGTGAAGTTGTCAAGTGTCAGGACCAGTATACCAGCTGACATGGGTGGCTGATGATGGTCATCCTTGCAGCTAAGTGCAGCAGGGAGCAGAAGGTGAGTTGGGGGGGGATCAGTATTATGAGTTAGTTCACCTTTTCATTTTTTGTGAGAAGGTGAACTAACCCTTTAAGAAGAGGGCAGCAATGCCAACATGCACATTTCTTTGACTTTAAAGGCAAACTAAAAAATGCATTTGACTTTTTTGAGCCACAAAACCTATGTGCAGGTTCTTTCTTTGCAGCGACTCAGATGAATGTTATTTAGCTGCAGTTTTTTCTCATTTCTGGCAATTGATTTTGAAACTGGCACTTAGACTATATTATAAACTAGTATTCTGGAACCTTAATCTGGTTCTGGTGTCAGGGCTGTCCCTATACTAAACGTCGCCTGAG